TTCTACCTTCCTCCACACCCTCTGGATCTAGGCTCCCTTTTGAAAGCTTGTAAGCCAGTCACTTCTTGCCTTTGTAGGCCACCCCCTCCCTCATTTTGGGTAGTGGCAGGCTAATTTTTAAGTTGGTAATTTTGTATGGTTCATGAATGATGCCATAAATTTGGCAGAAAAGAGGTTCCCTATCCCTGCTATACAGGGTCACTATGGGTCAGAAGTGACTCAATGACACAAAACAACAACAATAGCTACACTTAACTATTTGAGAAATTTCTAAAACGTTTTCCATTAGCAGCTGTACCGTTTTGTATTTCCACCAACAATGTGTGCAGAGGCTCCTATACCTTTTTTAATAAAGATATTCCAGTGGGTGTGAAGGGGTATCTCATTGTGGTTTAGAATATCTTTTCATATGCTTAGTCGTTCGTTTATTTTCTTTGGAGAAATATCTCTTCAAATTCTTTGCCCATATTTTAATTGGAGTATTTCCTGTTTAATATTGAATTAGAAGGTCTCCCCATATATTCTAGATTGTTGTTATGTTTATTAGGCTCTACGGAGTCAGTGCCAATTCACAGGGACTTTTGACAGCAGAATAATAAAACCCTGCCCCATTCTATGCCCCCTCACCAGGGTTGCTAGGTTTCAGTCCATTGCTGTAACCACTGTGTCAGTCCATCTCATTGAGGGTCTTCCCTCTTTGCACTGACCCTCTACCTTACCAAGAACGATGTCCTTCTCTCATGAGACATAATCTCTCCATCCTTGCTTCTACAGAGCATTCTGGTTGTACTTCCTCTAAGACTAATCTGTTCTTTCTTTTGACAGTGTTTGGAATCTTCAATATTCTTTGTCAATACCATAATTCAAACGTATCAATTTATCTTCAGTTTTCCTTACCAGCTTTTGCATGCATATGACATTATTGAAAATACCGTGCTTTGGGACTAAGGGGCACCTTAGTCCACAAAGTGACATGTTTGCTTTTTAACACTTTAGGTGTTTTGCAACAAGTTTGTCCAATGCAAAGCGTAACTTGATTTCTTGACTGCTCCTTCCATGAGTGTTGATTGTGGACTCAAGTAAAATAAAATCATTGACAACTTCAATCTTTTCTCCATTTATCATGATGTTGCTTATTGCTCCAATAGTAAGGATTTTTATTTTCTTTACATTGAGGTGTAATTCATACCGAATGTTGTATAATCCTTGATCTTCAACAGCAAGGGCTTCAAGTCCTCTTTGCTTTCAGTAAGCTAGGTTGTGTCATATGCATAACGCAGGATGTTACTGAGTCTGCAATCCTGATGTCTGATTCTTATTCATCTAGTCCTGAGTTTGGATTATTTGCCCTTGGATCATTATAGATACAAGTCCCTTATGAGATACAGGATTTCAATTTTTTTTTCCACATTCTGTGGGTTGTCTTTTGACTTCCTGGATGATGTCCTTTGAAGCATAGACATTTTTTACGAAGTCTGTTTTTTAAAAAGTTTTATTGTGAATTATGCGATAGTTTACATGGGAGAACATTAGTTTTACATTCACCCTATCGTAGTTTCGTTGCCATGGTTACAGTCCCCTCCATGCATCATCAACCAACCAAAGGGTATACACTACAAGCCTGCCCACCACACCCCTCGGGTCTTCAGCACACAGTCCCTCTCCCTCTCTGGATCTAAAGTCCCCAGATGCTCCATCGCTCCACATCATCGTCTCTGCCTCCATCTCTGGTGTCACTGCTTCTCTGGGTAGGGTTCCATTCTCTCCTCTTCTCCCTTGATGGTCCCAAGGACCGCCACTCCTAGATTGAAAAGTTAATCACTCTCCTCCTTTTGCTACAAAACATCTACCTTTACATTTCCAACCCTCACAATCAGTCCTGTTAACAATTATACACTATTGTGTCACAAGAGACCTATCCCCATCTCCTTTCATCAGCTCCGCCTAGTCAGATTGAATACTACTCAGGGGAGATTCTACCTTCCTCCAGGCCCTCTGGATCTAGATTCCCTCTTGAAAGCTTGTAAGCCAGTCACTTCTTACCTTTGTAACCCTCCCATTTTGGGGAGCCAGTGTCCAAGTTGCCCATCCCTGTCTACTCTGTATATGGAGGGGGTGGGAATGATTCTTACTGTAAAGATTTGTTCCCTCTTTTGAGCTACTGCATCCATAGTTATAGGTCAACTTCACCAAATTGTATCAATTTACTCTTTTTTTCCTCTTCTTTCTTCTCATTGAGCTCTGATCATCCAGTCATTTAAGCCAGGTCAAATGGGTATTATCTGCAAGTGTGGGTGTTCTTGTGCATATACCCTCTCTTCTTATCAGCTGGATGCTTCACTCTCCAGTCTGGTCCTCTGTGGCTATGTCACTGACTCTGGGCTGAAGAGTCAAAGTCTGTTTTATCTATTTTTCCTTTTGCTGTTTATGCTTCTGTATCATATCAAAGAATTGATAGAATTGATTACCTAATCAAGATGACAAACTCATAGTCCAATATATTCTTCTAAGAGTCCTGGTGTAGCACTGTAATATAAGCACTGGATTGCTAACTTCAAGGTCAGCAGTTGAACTCCACCAGCAGCTGCTTCTCGGAAACCATATTCAGGCTTGCTGTGAATTTGGAACCAACATGATCACACTAGCAGCGCTAGTGACAACAGCAAATTTTAAGCCATTTTAAGTATCATTATCTCCTTGGAGTCCTGGTGTGGGATAGCACTGACCCCCAAAGGTTGGTTTGAACCTCCAGGTTGGTGGTTCATAGTCAACAGCTGCTCCTTGGAAACCCCAGACAGGGTCACTATGCGTTGAAATGGACTTGGTGGTACTTACCAAGGGCTTTATAGTTTTAGCTTTTACATTTAAATCAGTGATTCAGTTTGAATTGTTACTTGTATATATGAGGTGGTTGTTAAGTGCCTTTGAGTTGATTCTGACTCATAGCAACCTTGTATAGGGTTTCTGAGGAGTGGCTGGTAAGAACCGCCAACCTCATGGTTCAAACTGAGCTTGCAGTCCAGCGTATTAACCCACAGCGCCACACCAGGGCTCCATATGCAAAGCTGTGGTTAAGTGCAGTCTAGTTGGTTCCAACCCTAAGCGACCCTGTATAGCGTTTCCGAGGAGTGACTGGTGAGTTTGAACCGTCCATCTTGCGGGTCAAACTGACTTCACAGTGCAGCGCGTTATCTCAGGGGTTTCAAATCCATTCATTTAAATCATAATTACAATCAGGTTCCATCAGTGCGACAATCTTTCGTGTGCAATTCCTTTGTAGTAATACCTTCACACCCTGTCTGGCAACCACGTAGCATTCTCTGTCTGTATAACTTCTGTCTCTGAGAAAGTCCTATAAATGGAGCAATGAAGTACGTCGTCTCCTGAGACCACGTAGGGAAAGATATCTTTTCCTTTTGGCAACAGGGAAAATTCAATTTAATTTGCATTTATCTATCCAGTTTGAAGGCTTTCTCCATGAGCTGAACTAAGTAAAGTACATGTTTTGCAGAACCTCAATTGCCATGTTGCAGAAGGGACCAGTCTCCACCTATGGGTGAGGCTTCCTTTCTCCGGGAACAGGGTAACAGTTTGCTACTAACTTCCAGGTCTTCAACAAGAGGGAAATGACAATAAAGGAAGTGGCTGGAGTTGAGTGTTGAGACTCAACTGAGACTATGCGGACCCCTTTGCTTGCCCAGTTTCTTGTAAGTAAAATGAGGCTGACCATGGGATGCGCTCCCGCATGGTGGGGTGGATGTCACGGAGCCCAAGCCCAGTGAACTCAGCTCCCCTTCAGAAGACAATGTTTGCTTAAAACCCAGCTTTCCAGCCCGGAGGGAGCAGCCGCGATGTCCCAGCGACCGGAAGTCCCTTCTTATTTGGAGGCTTGTGTCGGAAGTCGAGAGAAGTCCGCCGCTGAGGCATCACCGGCGTGAGGTCCCCGAAGAATTCGGCTGAGTGGAAACTGCACTCGGGAACCGCTGCTAGTTGGATGAACAGGTATTTCCAGAGGAGAACTGGGCCTGCTGCGGTCTGGACCGCATGGCTCAGAAGCGGCCCTGGTGACGGCCGTGGAGCCGCAGGCCGCGGGGATTCTGGGGACTGTAGTTCTGGCGGAGCCCGCGGCGATGGCCGGAGAAACCGAGCGAGGCCCTCACGGTCCTGGACCCCAGAGGCTGTTCCGCCCGCGCGCGCGGGAATAACAGGGAGGAAAGGTTGGGGAGGCGTCGGGGCTCGAAGTGGGGTTCAGTTGACAGGGATCGGGCCGGGTGGGTCAGCGCCCGCGGGTTCCGATGTTCCGTTTTTGGAGAAGGGGGCGCGGCTCGAGACTCCCATTTGGGGCATGAAAATTGGACTGACGGCCCGTATCTTGGAGTTGTGGGGCGCTTCGCGGCCCCTGGGTCCCGGGCTGGGACGAGAGGGACTTGGAACTTGGGGTTCCTGATTGGAAGGGGGCGGCATGAACCCGGGAGAAACCACGCTGCTCCAGCCGTGCGTCCCCGGGTTTTCTGGGCTGTGGGGGGAGTTCCGCCCAGGGCAGATGGACTGACATTCCCTGGGGAAGGGGACCAGGGTGTGACCCCCAGGGTGTCTGGTGGGGAGCGCTCACTCGGTTCCGAATTCCCGGGCCCTGGTGGGAACCAGGACTTAGTGCGCATGTGTTGGTGGGCTGAAGCCTTCGCAGGTGGTGGTGGGCTGGGAGTGGAGCCTCCTAACCAGCCTGTGCTGTTGGTTTTGTTGGCTGAATGGGAAGGTGCTTGGGGGTGAGCTTGTTACTGACACAATATCCTAGGGGATCCCCGGATTTTAGTAGGGGCAAGTGTTAGCCTGGCACAGACTCGATGAACGACCGCCAGGGCTTGCATGGTAGGTAGTTTTTGGTGGTTTTTCTTTTCAAGTGGGGGTAGATTCTCTGATTCCTGCTGTTGGGTGACAAAGGCCAGTTGTACTCTGTGATGCAGAACTCCACTTTATCTGTAATGTGCGGGGCATTCGATTGATTGATTCCCCATTCCCATGTCTGCTCGCCAGCTCGTGTTTATGGATGTAGGGGGTTAGGTGGGGTGGGAACCTCTGAGGGGTCTCTGCTGACTATTCAATCACTTCCAAACTCTCTGGTAGGGTCCAGGTATCAGGAATTTCATTTGTAACTTTTTGCAAATGACAGATTTTAAACCTCAGTAGAAAAGTATAGTGAAACCCATGAACCCGTTGAAAGATTCAGCATGTTGAGTCTTGTGCTGTCTGCATCCTCTCTACTGTGTGTGTATATGTTGTTGATAAGTGCCCGTCTAGTCGGGTCCAACCCATAGCGACTTTGTGTAGGGTTTCTGAGGAGCGGCTGGTGAGCTTGAACCACCGACCTTGCAGTTTAAACTGACCTTGCAGTCTAGCACATTAAGCCACAGCACCACACCAGGACTCTTCCTTGAGAATTGTCCCACCCCACAGGGGTCAGGCACCACTAACAGTGTGTCCCTGGCCAGACTGGCCAACACTGTGTCACTCCACAGCCAGACTTCAAATATAGACACTTTAGTTTTGTCACAAACAAGAAATAGAACCTCTCTCTGTGCCTCAGTTTACCATAAGACCTAACTCATGGAATCATGGGAAAGTTAACTTGTACGGCGCCTGGAGTTGTACCTGGCCGGTAGTAAGAGCAGAGCCGTTTTCAATAATAATACAACTGGATGTCAGGGCAGACTGGATTCTGATGTAGACACTTGGCTTTGTAAAGTGCCAGAAGCTGCCCACACTCTTCTCATGTGTGAGGAAACTGAGGATTTTGGTGTGATTGTGTTTAAAGACGAGGGACTCTCTGCATTTGAAAGTTGGGAATTTCTAGCCTGGTATCTGGGGACAGAGAGAGTGGTTAGCCTTACACTGCCAGTTTGATTCCAGACCCACCGCCCAGCGCTAGTGGTCTTGAGAGGACTAGTATAGAAAGGGAGGACACCTGGCTTCTGACAGACCCCTTTGGGTGGACACCACTTCCCTTTCACGTTCCTACCGGGTCTCCTCTGCTCCAAATGGTGGGTGAATTTCCTTTGCGCATTGTGGTACCATGAATTTACTTGATAACTCTTTTCTTTCGAAAGTCTCCTCAACGCCCACCAAATGATTGGGTGTTATTGTTGTGAAGTGCCGTTGAGTCGTTTCTGACTCATAGTTTTCAAGGAGTGACTTGAACCACCGGCCTAGCAATCCAATACTTGGGACCATGCAGATATTGAGTACAGGCTTCTAGCACTGGGCTTGGTTAGCTTGGCTGTTCTCAGTTTAAAAGGC